CTCTAGGGTTGCACCCGGCAACCCCAGGCGCTCGCGTGGGCCAGGACCTTCGTCAGCCGGGCTGCGCCCTCATCGTCACGGTAGCTGATGATGTCGGTTAGGGTCCCCTCTGAAGAGAGCCCGCTACCAATGATCCCGAACGACGCAAACGTTGCTTGCTTTCTGCTATGTGTGCCCATCCACTATTTTATATATAAATGTGAAGTAATACCAATTATTTAAGTGTGCAAGACAGTTAAAATGCGTGTCCATCTCAGTGAAGTCAATTCAGAGACACTGCAGCCCCGGCCGGTGTGTCTCGGTGGGTCAGGCGCGCCCTGCGGGCCAGGGTCACCGGCCTGGTCCCTGGTCAGGGCTCTGGAGAAGCAGCTGGTCGAAGCTTCTCTCCCTGCCTTTCTCCCTCCCTCCCTCTCTCTCTGAAAAGAAATAGCATGTTTGTGTTTTTTTAAAGACAAAAATAAAGTGTCCCTTCCGAAGATGGGAGCTCTTCTCAAACTCGGACGTCCCTGTTCAGGGGGAGGAAGCGCCCACGCAGGCCGCCCGCCAAGGCCCGCTGTTCGGGACGCTGTCCGGGCTTTTGCTGTGACATTGTCACAGCAGGTCATTATAGTCCTATTCTACTCTGGTACTTTTTAGTGGTGTTTTTGTAAATACATAGGAATGATTGCACATCAAATAAAAACAATATAATACATTAGCAAGACTTGTGTAACATTCAGCTTTTCTGTGCTGCCCGATAATAAAGGGAAGCCAGACAACCAATGAAAGGCCCTCGAGCGTCAGCCAGCAAGAGGGGACGGCCCAGCTGTCTTCAGGCCTCACGGCCGGGACGCAGGCCCAGGACGCGGGCCCAGGACAGAGCGCCACAGTCACCGCAGGACCGTGTCCGTGGTCTGCCGGTCAGCCGGCAGTGGGGGTGGGGGCGGAGGCCGGGGGTGGGGGTGGGGGCGGGGGTCCTTCCCAAGCACGTCTGTGTGAGCCCAGTGGCCCTGCAGCGCGTCCGTCACAGAGATTTCGAGTCCACGCGCGGCAGGATCGATGTGCCACGGACAGTGGAACTTGCCGACAGTGCTGGGTACAGCAGATCGTGAGACGCCAAACCGTTCAGGAAACATCGGCCGACGCCTTCCAGAGCTGTGATGAAAACGGAGTGGATTTCAATTCAAGTGTGTAGAGAGAGAAAACCCCTGAACCGCATCTGATGCATGGTGTGGGCTTGTGGCCACTCGGTGGCAGAGCCAGGGGGGCAGCAGCCTGGTCCCCACAGGCGGCCACACAGCTTCGAAGAGCAGACGGCAGCAAAGCGGGGTCCCCCTCACCGTGAAAATGAGGGCGTGTGTGCGATGAGACCCTGATGACATCATTGTCACCATTCCAAGGTGACAACAAAGAAGAAGAATCGCCACATCAGGACAGTCCCCGAAGGTAACATTCAGACAAGACAAAGGTCGAGAGTGCACTTGGTCAAAGCCAAAGAAATCAGGAATCCTACAAAGAAACAGGTGCTGCGTAGTCTACAAAACACATTCATATCTGTTCGCTAAGCCATCCTTTAAAACTAGAGGAATTTTAAAAACCGGTGGAGGAACCCATTCTGCAGGTGAGGACATTCAGTGCCAGGGTTAAGGGACCGGCATCAGCCTCAGGGAGAGCCCCGCCCGCCTGCTGTGCCACCTGACCGCGCTGCCCAGGCACATTTGAGATATTCATCTCAAATAAAATATACACCTTTTTGGAAAACAGAAAAGTGGCTGTAGTTAAAACATTAGAGATTTGTACTGTTTATAAATTCAGAAGAAATAACTTGCCCACCTCACACAATAGGAGAGTAAGTGCAACTTCTCCCTCTTCGGTTAGTTTTATTTCTTTGACCCAATATGGTTTTCTCAAAGGGAAAGAAACCGAAGTCACATCTAGCAAAAGAAGTTATTAATTACATTTTGCCAATAATATTAAAATATAATTTGTTTCTTAATTTTCTCTCTTTTCTCTTTGGACCCTTCATAGTAGAAAGTTGGTCACTTACTAAAGGAGGAAATAAAATTATTTAATATAAGTATATCACATCTTCCTGCTTGAAAATAGATGGTGAAATCCATAGTGATTACTTCAAGTAATTCACTTCAGCTTTTTGGAGAACTGCATTTGGTTGTTTTGGTAACAATCACAGGATTATGTAGCTTTAGACTTCACAGACTGCCCAGTCCAAGCACAAAAAGAAGTGGAGAGACTAAGGGATTTGGTAAATATGTCACATTTTCATGTAAACCAGTTACACATACTTTGTTCTGCCTTAACCAGCGTGGACAATCAATTGAGTGGGCCAGGCTGGGTTACGCCTGCACCGCACGTGCTCCCGCAGCCTGGAGGGCTCCAGGAGCTCACCCTGGCAGCCCTGCGCGTTCAGGAGCCTGGGAGCGGTTATTGATCAGTGCACTCTTTTACTAAGTTGAACAAGTCTGTAAAAATGATTTGTACAAAATGAGGGACACCCAGAGTCTTTTCGGCAGAGACTTGCAGAAAAGAATGAATGAACAGCCGAATTGTCCCATCCTACAAGGCCGACCTCACGGACGTGGAGCCAGCCGAGCACCGCCTCTGCGGCTCCGGCCGAGCGGCCAGACTGTGGTGAGCCGGTCGGGAGCAGCACCGTCTGCCCGGCTGAGTGGCTGGGAGAAGTCACTCCAGGACTCCACTTGTTTGCCCTATTAAGACTGAAAAAGAAGGACACTGTCAATTACTAGCAAGTCTTCCTTGGTGTGTAGAATTTGGGGAGGGGAGGTAGTTCTTACTGGTATTTTTTAGGAAAAATGTAACTTTTGATGTTGTAGAACACTATTGAAAGGGAAGGATTGTATGCAAATTTAAAATGAGTTTGAGCTAATTTCTTGTGTTTTTCCCCCCCCAAACAGGTTTGCATGACAGTATTTTACAGTGGACGCTTCACAGGCCCGAGATGAATGGGGGGGTGGGGGGAACGGAGCGGCGCCTTGTCACCAGGCGGCGCTCTGAAGAGAGACACCCACGTTTATTTCTACTCCCGGGAAGGCAACGGAAAAAGGGGAAAGATCTCATTCTATCTGCCTGAGACCACTCTGATACGAATTTTTATTTTTTTTCTGGAGTATTTCTTAAAGGAAACGTTCACATCTTGGTAACATCGAACCCAAACCACGTGCTTTCCAAGAGCAGAATGTTAACCCTTAACCCAACGTGCTGGGGGGGCGGGGGATGTCACATTTTGTCACCGTCACCCATTTCTCACTGAATATCTTTTCAATTTACCCGAGGAAACGGACCTAGTGAGGGGAGGGGAGGGGTCGCGGAGACGCAGAGGCGGAGGCGGGGCGGCGCGGGGTCCTCGGGCCGCGCCCTCGCCCCCAGCGCCCCGCGACCGGGCGCGCGGCCGCCCGCTGGTGGCGAGGCTCGTCCTCCGGCCACGCGCGGCCGAGCGGCGTGGCGCTCGCGGCCCCTCTCCCGTCAGATCGCGGGCCTGGAGGGCGTCCAACGCCTGCCCAGAAAGCGCCAACGAAATGGGAAAGTGCGCAACTGCCTGATAATACATTTTACAAGAAAAAAAAATTCAGGGAGACAAATGGTTGAACTCCCACCACGAGCCTTCCTCCATCTAAAGAACCAAAACTTTCTGGGAGCCTTGGGCCAGGAGGGACGCGCCCCCAGGGGTCTCCGGCGGGGGTCGCAGGCAGGGGCGCGCGACCTGCCCGGTGGGGCCGACCCTGTGCCTCCCCGAGCGCCCCTCCCCCGCGGGCGGCCCCTCCCCGACCGCCGGGCCGCCCAGCCTGGTCCCTCCAAACCGACAGACGCTAATTGATTTATTCAATGTCGAGGCGGGTCCTTGTTTAATAGCCCAAGCTCTCCATTTAGACAAAAACAGATCCGAGTTCCTGGTAAAGGCGTTTCTTCTCATCCTGTCACAAGTGACAGGAACGGAGGTAAATAGCAGGGGGCGGGGCGGGAGGGGGAGGGGAGGGGGCGGCGGGGGAGACGGCCGCGCGGGCGGTGGGGGCGCGGGGAGGGGAGGGTCTGACGAAGATCCGCCCGGGGGCACGGACACTTCGGCGGCTTCTAATTAAAGCCGGCGCGGAGCCCTCGGGACCGGCCTGACGTCGGCGGCGCGGGGATAAGAGCGCCGGGGTCCGAGGCGCCCGCCCTGCAGCGCGCCCAGAGGCCGAGCGGCGCGTGCGGGTCCCGCGCGCCCTGTGCGCTCCGCAGTGCGCGCTCCGCCGGCCGGGGCGCCGCGGGGCATGGAGTAGCCCGGCCCGCGGACCGACGCCGGAGGACGCCCGCGGCTCCGGAGCAGGTGAGCGGCCGGCTGGGGCGCGCCGGTGGCCCGCGGCCACGTGGGGGCCCGGCCCCCGCCGCAGGCTCCGAGGTGTCCCCGGGACCTGCTCGGTGGGCGGCCGCCGCGAGGGTCCTGGTGCGGGGGCTCCTCGGTGCGATTTGGGGACCGGGGTGGGAGGACGAGCGCCACACAAAGGCTGGAAACTTGAGCACAGCCGCCGGGCCGGGCGCGCGGCTGCCTCCTCGGAGGGACGGACCCTCCAGACGCGGCTTGTGAAGGTTAAAGAAAGTTGCGCGGACGCCCCGCGCTCCCCACGCGGGATGTGCCGTTGGGTGCAAGTTCCGGGGCGGGGGCGGGACGCGGCCGCGGAAGGTGAGGCCGCCCGGCCCGGGCGCGCAGGGCAGGCGCCGACCTCGGCAGCCGCGTGTGAAAACTCGGTTGGGGTCCCCGCGAGACCCCACCCAGCGCCCCGCAGGGACTCGAGAGACGGGGCCGCGGCGGGGCGCCCCTGCTCGGGGTCCGCGGGGGCCGGAGGGGATCGGCGGCCGTCCCCGGCCGTGGCTCCTGCACGCTCCCCGCCGCCCGCCCCGCCCCGCCCCGCTAGCCCGCCGACTTTCCTCCCGGTTCCCCCGCAGCTCGTCCCTCCAGCCAGCGAGCTCCGGGCGCGCGGACCCCCCGCCGGCCTGCCGAGCGCACGATGCGCGGGCCCGGGCGACCCCTCCTCCTGGCGCTGCTGCTCGTCCTGGGCGCGGCGGGGCCCGGCCGGGGAGTCGCGGAGCCCCGGGAGGCGGCGGACAGGCAGACGCTGCTGCGGCTCATCGTGGAGATCATGCAGGAGCTCAAGAGGTACCACTCGGGGGAGTCCAAGCGGCTGCAGCCCCCGGGCCCGCAGGACGCCGCCCCGGGCCGCAGGGAGGCCTCGGACTACGGGCTGGACCCCGAGGAGCAGCGAGCGGGTGAGTGCGCGCCGCCCTGGGACCAGGAGCTCCCGTTTGCTTGGAGATAGAAGGGTCTTTGAGAAAATGTTTCGAAAAGGCAAATCCCTTTCGATTGTTTATAAAAGAAGAAAACAGGACGTCCATGAAGGACGCCTCGCGGACAGCCACCCCCAGCCCGCTCCCCAGACGCCGGCTGCTGCTGAGGCCGGCAGCTTCCGCAGGGATCTGTGCCCCGTTGTTTTGGAAATGGAAATGGAAATACTTTCCTCCAGCAGCTTCGGCTGAGACAGAAGCGGCCCAGCCCCCCTCGCAGAGCCTCGCGGGGCGCCCCAGGGGAGCTTCCCAGGAAAGCAGGCAACCCTCCCTGCTCCCCTGACACAGTCAGGTCACGCAGCAGAGGGTCAGTTGTAGGTAGAGGGGCTGCAGTTGGGGGTCAGCGAAGACCGGCGCCCGGCCCGTCTGACGCTGGCGTGGGCGGAGCGAGGCGGCCGAGCTGGGCTGGGCGGCCACACAGTACAGCCCAGCCCGGGCGCGGTGCTGGTCTGGAGCAGGGGAGTGAGAAATGACCTGGCGACTGTGAAGGCCAACCAGGCAGGAGCCGGGGGCCGCGCCGGCCACCGCGCACCCGCCGGGCTGTGTGTCTGCCGGGAAGGGGCGTCCCCAGGGGTCACGGCGGCCAGCGTCCACAGAGGGCGGTTGGAAGACATTGTGCCCATTTTCTCACTCTGTACTCGGAAAAATGTGAAATCCTATAGCCCGTGTTCTGTTGGAAGGATGAGGCTATCTTTCTAGGACTTTGAGAAGTTGTGGGGTTTAATTCCTGAGCTCTTTGAGATGAATGTGTCTCAATGTGATTTATTCACTGGAAGCTGTCAAAAAGCCACCACACACGCGACTTCCTTCACCCCGTAACTCCACGGGCACCGTCTGTGTCCTGTGGACGTGAGACAGGCTGTCGGAGCCTCGTGAGCCGTCACCTCCACGTGGAGGGACCGCACCGCTGGTGACGGCGTCCACGTGGCGCCACGTCCGACAGGCGAGGGGCCGGGCTGCTGCTTGGTCCGTCGCTGTGGCGACGCTGGCTCCCCAGTGAGTGCCCCCAGCCCCCGCTTAGGGTCACGCAGGACGAACGCCTCTTCCAGGCATCACAGGGACTCGTTTCTCTCCCCTCAAACAGAAATCGTTCCTCGGGATCTGAGGATGAAGGACAAGTTTTTAAAGCATCTTACAGGTAGGCTCTCCCCTCAGCCCTCCGCCCGCGCCCGGCCCGTCCGTGTGTCCCGGGAGCCCTCACGACCTGCCTCTGCTTCCACCTTCCAGGGCCTCTGTACTTCAGCCCCAAGTGCAGCAAACACTTTCACAGGCTCTACCACAACACCAGAGACTGTACCGTCCCAGCGTGTAAGTGTCGGGGCCGAGCTGCGTCGGGCGCAGGGGGCAGGCGGGGCGGTTCCCACATCCTCCTGCCTAACTGGGTGTCCTGCCCTCCGCACACCAGTCCCCTCATTTGCACGGAGCCAGGGCCAGGGGGCCGAACTTAAAAGTAGTGCTTTATGGCGAGGAACAGCGCTCGGGTGGGTGCCCCCTCCTGGTTCTGTCTGTGACAATCAGACGGGACGGGAGAGTGGGGGGCTGAGTGGCCGCTGCCCCCCGGGGCGAGAGGAGCCGGGGGCCTGGGCCGCCCGAGGCTCGCGTCTGTAGGCGACTCACACCCTCGCCGCCCACGATTAAGTTGCCGTCTCAAAATTCCGCCCTCCTGGTCGGCTCCATCACTAACTTGAAAGCGCAGACCTGCCCTTCTGCGCGTGGAGCCAGCTGTGACTTCCTGGCGGCTTATCCATGACAACTCGTGTTTTATTTCCTCAAAATTGGCTTCTTGTGCTTTTCATGACACATACAATGGTGATAAGTCACGTATCAGGACAAGTGACATCTGCTAGAGCCCCACATGGGTTTTTTTTTGAGGAAGTACAGGTTTCACTTATGACCCAGGGAGGGGTGTTTGCAGATCCCCGGGTCTCGCCAGCTGCTCTCAGGGCTGAGCGGGGGACACAGAGCAGACCTGCCAGTCCTGCTTTCACAAAAAAGCCACTTTCCCTGAGCGCAAGTTTGTGCCGCGTCGCCAGCAGCTACCCCCGTGACAGCAGGTGTCCCGAGGTGCTGCTCGTCCAGGCCACTGGCACGCTCGCCCGGCTCACGGGGGCGGGGATCCCAGGGCGGGCAGCACAGGGTCCCACAGGGCCCCGCCCGAGGTCTTACCGGCCCGAGCCCGCCGCCACCCTCGCGTCCCTGCCATCTGGACTTGGCACACGCACTCCTGCCCTTCCTTCTCGAGACTCACCTGCTGTTTGCGAATTATTAACCTGCTTCCCGAGGCCAGAGAGCCGCCTCGCTTTATTGTCTGTGTCCACATGTTGCCCCTGAGCGTTGCCTTACAACACTAGGCCCGCGGCTCCGAGGTGGCCTCCGGGGCCAGGATCCCTAACCCTCCCCTCGGGGGAGGAGCTCGGCCCACACTCGCCGTCCGCGCGGCCAGCACTGCCCCGTGCCCTGCCGACCCTTCGAGGCTGTGCGCCCGCTCGGGCACCGCCTGACCCCCGGTGCCAGGCCACCCACAGCGGAGGCTCCTCAGACGGGGCCCAAATGCAGCTCTCGGTGCGTCAGGGGCGGTGGGGGCCGGGGCCGGGGGCAGCCCCGGGCTCCTGGGAGGTTGGGCTGCAGGGCGGCGGAGCCTTTGTGCTCCAGTGCTGGGGGAAGGGCACGGCTTTGGGTGCCCCCCCGGCCAGCGCATCAAGCCTGCAGAAGTGAGGCGCCAGGGCATTTGGGCCGGAGGCGGCGTGGCCCGGGTGGCAGCGCCCGCACAGGGGGCCTTGCCGGGAGGGCGGCTGCAGGAGCCCGAGCCCTGGGCGCCCGTGCGGGAGCAGCCGCAGCTGGTCCGGCTCATTGCTGGCGGTTGCACTCGCCTGGGGTTTCATTTCGGTCCAGGAGCCCTGCACCATTTCGTGGCCTCCCGTGGCTTGAACAGTCAAGGGCAGCCGGGCCGTGACCGGGGCCCGAGGCCCCGCGGTCTGAGTGCAGCTGGCAGGGTCGGGGCGGGCCGCTCGGCGGGCTGCGTAGGGCCCGCGCTCCGCTTTCTCTGGAGTGTTTATGGAAGGCTTTGTGTTATGATAAAGTCGAGGGGACTCAGCCTGCATGTGACCTACAAGGAAGCCAACGCATCCACTTCCTTGGGCCCCAGCGCGCGGAGACGGCAGCCTGCACCGGCCCCTCCCCCACAGCCCCCCCTGAAATCCGAGCAGTCATCCCATCACCAACTTAGGGCTCCCGGTGGCAGAGGACAGTGTCCATGTCGCTCCCAGGGAATTCGGGGTCTTTAAAGAAACAACGTGGCTCGGGCAGCGGCCGCGCGTGAGAAAGCTGATACCGGGGGCCACTGTGGTAACCGGCGGGTTCTGGCTCGTTCCCACCGCAGACTACAAGCGATGTGCCCGGCTCCTCACCCGGCTGGCCGTGAGCCCCGTGTGCATGGACGGATAAGGTAAGCGAAGCGCCGCGCGCCCACCCCCCGGCGGGGACGCGAACACGCTCGGGGGGGCTTCAGCGACACGCATTGCTGGGCTAGGGCAGCCCGGCTCCAAGCGAGGCTGACGTGACACACACACGTCCCCAGGCGCCGCCGCGGGGGGCGGGACGGTGCAGGGCGGAGTCCGCACCCCGGGCCGCCGCGGGGACGTGGGCGAGCGCCCGGATGCACGCGCGCCATCGCCCCGCCTACTGGGCCCGCCTCCGCCGACGCTTGGGCAGGAGCCCAGGGCGGACACAGCCGGGCAGGTTTCATGGACGCATCTGGCAAATTCCTGAGCAGGATCCTATCCTTGTGCCAATGAGCCTGTGAAGAATTGGAGCAGCGACCCTCGTTGCGTTTCAATGGAAGTAACTCTTACGTAGCCTGTGAGGAGGAAATGATAAATGCACGTTAAGAATTTATGAACCAAACTTCTCACTGGGCCCTTGAGGGCTGATGTGTGACACGCAGCAGCAGCGACCAGGCCGCGGGCAGGCCAGCCTTCATTTTCCTGACACACGCGCTGCCATCTCTCCGTGTTACACGTACTGTGTCCTGGGAGCGGGCTCGGTGCCCACAGGAAGACATGCTCTGGCCCTCGATGGCCACCCCAGGGCGCCCCCAGCTCTCCAGGGCCCTCGTGGTGAGGGGCCTGCCGTGCTTGTCCAGCAGCTCCACTCGCTTGTCTCAGGGAGTGAGGACCCTCCTGGGGGCCTGCGCGCCGCGTGGAGGTCAGGACAGGCCGCAGAGTGGGCGCGGGGCGGTGGTTCTGAGGTCTACCCGCCCGCTGAGAAGCCCGGGCACAGACAAGGACCCGGTTCCGTGGAGGCTTCCAGAAGCACAGTCTGGTCGTGTCGACAGGAAGCCCGGTCTTCACGGCCTAGGGGGCAACCAGCGGGCTCTGCCCCAGGGCCGGCCTCTCTCTGGAGGCACAGAAGGTCCTTTCTCAAGCGCCAGACGTTCCTTGTGCATCTCCTGGGGGGCATGCCTGGGGGACGAGGGCGTGAGTTTTTAAGCCTTTGTACAGCACCGCTGTCTCCAGGTCCTCGGAAAACAGCTTCCGCTCTCCTCACGGGAGGGGCGGTGTGCCCTGTGCAGCCCGGGCCTGGGGCCGCCACCCCCTTGGCCTGGTGCACCGCGGCCGGGGAGAGCAGCGGCCCGCGCCCCCGAGGGCCCGCCCCACCCACGCGCGGGTAGATGCCGCAGGAGGCACTGCTGTGGCGTCAGGCCGGCCGGCGGGACTTTGCCAAGCGCAGCACACGCTCTGTGGAAGCCGCAGGACACGGCACCCACGCCTGCCGAGTGGACGTGGCCTTGGGACCAGCACTGGCGGCCCCGAGCCGGCCGTCGCTCCCTGGGGCGCCGGCCAGGGTCGAGCCGCACGCAGCGGTCCCGGCGGAGGGTCTGCCCTGGGGCCGCCAGGCCCGTCCCACATGCCATGGCCCTAACTGTTGGCTTTGGCCGAGGAACCGGTCCAGTTTAAAAGTTACATCTGCTAACTGCGACTTCACATGTTTAAAAGGTTCATGTCTGCTAACTGGAGAAGTTCCCAGCTGCAGTGGCAAACTCTCCCTGGCCAGTCACGCGGCCCCGGGGGCTGCAGCAGGGCAGCGGCCAGGTCGGGGTGGTCCCCACGCCCCTGGAGCGCAGCCGGGTGCGGCCCCGCCTGTCTCAGTCGCTTCCCACGTTTGGGGACACGCGCGGGTTCCATGTCCAGAGGGACTGTGTCCCGTGGCTCCCACACAAGCTCTGAACCGCTGGCAGGGCAGCCGGTGACAGACCATGTGCTTCCTTCCAGCCGTGAGCGACCCACAGGGGAACCTGCGAAGTGCCTTGGAGACCGACAGGGACGCAGAACCCGCGCCTTCGTGAACACGTCCCGGGAGCAGAGATTTATTTTTGCAGCCTTCGTGACTCCTGGCGTTTTCTGGGCCGTTGGCACGGCCTGCGGACAAGCGCTCAGCCGGGCCGCAGGCGGGACAGCCACCCTCCGTCTCAGAAACCAGCCCGTGCGGGGCCGGTGCGACGCCCTGGCCTGGCCGCGCGGGCTCCCGACTGGGCGGAGTCCCAGGACTTTTCTTTAGAAATATAAGCAGATTTGAAACTCTATTTTCATATCACATATGGTATGATTTGATATTTTTATTACTTTTACAATTAGGTTCCCAGAGTATTAGTTGGAACTGCATGAAAAAATTTTTAAAGATACACTTCAGCTGTGTTTTAGAGACAGTGGGGTGTCAGTTGCGAACGCATCGAGGCTGATCTCACCTGTCCCTCGTCATAAATGTGAACTCGTATCAGTATACTGTGCAATGTGTAAATACTGTAACTAAAGCAAGTAATAAAGTGTTTGTTATAACAACCTTAAAGTGACTGCGACCTCCTAACGAGCCCGCCACCGGGGGCTGACGGCTCGCGGGTCTAGGCGGACGCGGGACGGGCAGGACGACCGAGGACGCAAAAGGCTTAAACGAACGCGACGCGAAGCCGGGCCTCCTCACGACCGACGACGACATCGTTCGTTCTTAACGGAACGGTCACTAAATAGCGATGACGTAGCTTCCTGAGACCGACGCAGGAGCGAACCTGTCCACTGTTTGCGTCTGTATGTCCTTCCCGTGTGACTTTTAACCATGGGAACCACGGGGACTCACGGGAACCTCCCGACCTCTCAGCAGCCCCCCGTTTTAGAGGTGGGTCTGCTGTGCGCGGGCCTGACTGTGTCCAAGACGAGAGAGGCCGGCCAAGTGCCTCTGTCCCTGACCCCCGGGCTGGGCACGGCCACGGTGGCAAAGCGGAGGCTGGGACCGAGGGCCCGCACCCAACTGTGTGTGTAAGCACTAAAATGTACGCATGTGGACCCATAAACATAAAGGAGCCGAGGAGAAGAACACATTTGTTTGCTTTGGGCCCATTAAGCAACTCCTTGAAGATTGGGGTGGGGCAAGGTGTGAAGGGCTCTTACTGAGCCCTGTGTTCCGACTGGTCAGTTGCTGAACTTCCTCTCTCCAGTCTACTTTTAAGGGATGTCATCAAACCCTCAGTCTCTTTACCCATCAAGCTTCCTGGGTGCCCCCCAAGGCGCTTCCCCGTGTGGCTGCGGAGGGGGCGCTGCCTCTGGGCCCCTGGAGCCTGCTCAACCCCCGGGCGCACGGGGGTTCAGGGCCCTCACTGCCCTGCGGACAGACGGCCCGGACGCCGATAGGGAGCCCCCTCCGTGCCCCCCCGGCCCGGGGCGGTGGGCCCACACGCGGGACGGAGACCACCCGTGACTCTGTGGCGGAGACAGCAGCTTCGACGGGGTGAAGGCGAAGGAAACCGTCACCCACAGGACTGACACGCGGGCCAGCCCCAGCAGACCGCACGCCACTCAGGGAGCTGGGCAGGAACGCTGTCCACTGGGGGGGCTTCGAACCCCCCCCTTAAATAGACGTAAGCGGAACTTCCACCATTTTCCTTCCCGGCACCGGAGATAAACGTGCACGTGGCCCGCCACCCTCTGAAAGGCAGAAAACCAAGGTGCCCTGTTCTACTTCTTCACTCGTCAATAAAAAAGCAGGCAGACAGCAGACGGACATCTTAGTTGTTTTCTTATAATTTCCCCAGTTTATTTTGAAAATTCTTTTTCTGAGACATAACTGCATGAGTTTTAGATTAGTTATCTGAAAGCACACAGACATTACCTGCATTTGCCTATAAATTAAACACTGATTAAATAATACTTCTATCAATATTTATCATTCGATCATAAAAACTTCCCCCAACTTTGTAATTATCTGGGTCATATACGCATCCGAGAGCAGACACGTCCCTCCCACCAGCCTGCGCTCAGGCAGCACGCGCCCCCCGGACCTCACGGTGGCACACGCGGGGCCAACAGGCTGCCTGCCGCATGCGGGCGGCCGGCCGGACACGAGGCAGCTGCGCGGGGCTCCACAGATCTCCCCGCCCTCCATGCGCCCGGCTGCGCGCCCGGGCACGGACAGTGGGCACGGGCGCTCCTGCGTCCGCACACTCCGGGAGCAGGCAAGTGTCACCAGGAGGGTGGCCCGCGCGCGCCCCTCGCCCCCAGGCCCCGGCAATCCCGTCTCTGGCCGGCCCACGGCCGTGGCTGTGACGGGACCGAGGCAGCAGGTTCCGCTGGACCAAGAACACCTCGCGTGCCCCAAAGCTGTCTGAGTCAAAATGTTTATTTATGCTTTTGCCAAACACACCGCTGATTTCCATCTACAATGGCTGGTTTGGGGGACACACAGCAGGCGGACGGAGTGCGGCGCGCGGCGGCTAGCAGGCCCGCTCCAGGAAGGCCTGGCAGCACCGCAGGCACTGCTGGTACACGGTCTCAAAGTCGGACTCGTTCCCCTGAGAGGAGGGAGGAGAAAGAACAGCCTGCGAAACGGAAGTGCCCGCGAGCCCCTCCAGGCGTCGCCCCCCGGCCGGCCTCCCACGGGGCGGTCCCCGCTGTGTCCCGCTCGGGGACGCGAGGCGGTACTTACGTAGTAGGGGTCCTCGATGATGAGCTGTTTCTGAGGGTCATAGCTCCCGAGCAGTTCGATTTTGGCTTTGCTGTTTTTAACTTGATTACTCTTCCTGGTCAAATCTCTGTAAAATTGGAACATGAACTGAGCTTTGGGGTCCCTGGCTGGCGGTGACACGGGTCTCTGCCAGGGTTTTGTGAAACGTCCCCATGCGGACGCGGCAGACCCGTCTGGCCTCAGGCAGCGGTTTGTCAGTCGTGACAGCCGCACGTGCCACCGACTGTTTCACACAAAATAGGCACCTGGAAGTCAGAAGAGTCACGTGTTCTCCACGACCCACACGCTGAGACAACCAACCACACCCCCTGTTTCGGAGCGCAAACAGAGACGGCGGACGGGAGCACAAGAGGCCGCGCGAGCCCCGTTCCGAGGGCTCCGGCCCCTGAGGGGTTGGGTCCCCGTGTCCCCACCGGGGCCTCAGCCTGCACCCCAGCTGGGGACAGCCCTCTCTCAACACCTTCCTGCCCACTGTCACGCTGCCACCGGAGGAAGGCCGGGCTCCGCTCGGCTCCTTCTTAACACATCCCAGCTGAGCACGGGGCAGGCCTGGGGCTGCTGGGGAGGGGGTGAGGCGGGGTGCACTGCAGCCCACAGGACGCGCCCCCAAGCGACCGGGGCTCCAGCAGGAGAGCCAGGCCGCAGCCGCGGGGCCGAGCGGGACGGCACAGAGCAGGCGGGGCCCGCGCGCGCCTGGGCACCCGGGGCCGCCACCACCATAGCGCGGCCGCCACTTCTGGCGGACGCCCTCGCCCCCGGCTGGTCTTGGTTTTTCATTTCACTTGATTACGGCAACGAACGATCCAAACGGAGTAGACAGTTTTCTGTCAGTACTAGTTTTGGGCGGGGGGGGGGGGGGGGGGCCATAGGAAAAGGAGACATAAGATGAAGAACAAGAAACCACCACCCAGTCCGAGTCGCTCCAGCTGCAGCGCAGGCGCCGCCTGCAGGAAGCCGCCCCCCGGCCCCGAGGCTCTTCAGCTCCCGGTGCCCTCGCCAAGCGCGGGGCTGGACAGGTGCGCCCGGGAGACAATGAATTCTAGGTCTCTCCCCGCGTTCCTTGCTGTTCTAAGCGCACCGGTTCTGTGCGCTGCGGCCCTCGCTATCTACCGAAACGGTGAGATCACAAAGAAGCCCCTGGCACCGCCGCCTGCTTGGCCGGCCGCTGGGCGGAGCGCCGAGCAGAAGCTCCCTCCGCGCGGGCGGTTACCTCAGGTTGCTCTCGTCCATGCACAGCATGTAGTCGAACGTGGCGAAGTCTTCTTTGGTCACCTGGAATCAAGCAAGAAGTCAAAAACCAGCATTGACATTCATACCAATCAAGCCAAGAGAATATACAGCAGTTAAAAGAGGAAAAAGGAAGAAAGGCTATTTTAGAACCTGTTGCTCAAAAATTAAATTCAGGGTACTTTAAAATGAAAAGAGAGTTAACCTATTTCCTAAAATTGCATTGCAAAGGAATTTTTATAAAATCCCTGGAGTAAACATAGAATAGTATAATATGTAGACTCAAGTTTATACTTTATCTTCCATTTCTTAGGAACAATGTAAAATTCAGTAAACATGCTAAAATGTCACACACAAGTGAAAATGAAAACACAATGACCCAAAACCTACGGGACACAGAGAAAGCAACCCTACGAGGAAAAGTCACAGCATTACAGGCCTCCCTCAGGGATGAGAAAAATCCCAAACGCCACTCTGACCCCGCTGCCGAGGGAGCGAGAAAGAACAAAGCCCAGCGTGAGTGGAAGGAAGGAAAGACTAAAAACCAGGGCAGAATCAAGCGAAATAGAGCAAAGATCAATAAAACTAAGAGGCAGCTCTTTGAAAAGAAAAACAAAATTGATAAACCTTTAGCCAAACTGATCAAGAATAAGAGAGAGGACCCAAATATATACAGTCAGAAACGAAAGAGAAGTAACAACTGTATGGAAACCACCTGGAAGACCTGGTCGAGATGGATACATCCCTGGAAACACACCACCTTCCAGAACTGAGTCAGGAAAAAGCAGAAAATCCGGACAGACGGACGACTAGCAACCGGACCGAAGCAGCAGAGACACCCAACACACAGGCCCTGGACCCGATGGCCTCCCAGGCGGGTTTTACCAAACGTTCTGAGAAGAACGTTCATCCTTCTGAACCTGTTCCTCGAATAATTCAAGAGAAGGGAAAGCCATCAACTCATTTAACAAGGTCAGCATCACCCTAATTCCAAAACTAGACAGAAAGATTACAAAAAAGAAAATTACAGGCCAATATCTCTTGGCCTGTATGTTTGCCATGAACATCCATGCAAAAATCCTCAACAAAATATTAGCAAACCAAATCTGGCAATAATTAGTAAGAGCACACACCACAATCAAGCAGGATTCATTCCTGGGACACAAGGCTGGTACCGTATCTGCAAATCAGTCAACGAGGGTCCCCACATAAACACAACAAAGGACAAAAATCACACACCAATGGACGCAGACAAGCCATCTGCCGCTCCCAGCGCCCACGCACGGCAAGAGCCCTCAGGAAAGTGGGGCAACACACAGGACAAACCCACAGCCAACACCGCGCTCCGAGGGCAACAGCGGCCGGCGTTCGCCGTCACGATCCAGAGCGAGGCAGGGAGGCCCGCTCTCGCCTCCCTTACCCGACACCGCACGGCAGGCACGGCCTCGGCCGCCCGGCCCGAGACGGCAGAAAAGGCGCCCCGAGTGGGAAGGGAGTAAAGCTGTCATTATTTGCAGGTTCCATGATACCGTACATAGAGAACCTCAACGACTCCGCCGAAAAAACAACTAGAACTGATCACTGAATTCAAGAAAGTAGCAGGATACAAAATTAATGCTCAGGAATTGGTTGTACTTTTACATATCAATAACAAACTACCAGAAAGACAAATTGAGGGAACAACCCCATTTAAAATGCATACATGATGTGTGTGTGTGTGTGTGTGTGTGTGTGAGAGAGAGAGAGAGAGAGAGAGAGAGAGAGAATGAGAATAAACTTAACCAAGGGGTGAAAGGCCTGTGCTTGGAAAACACAGGCACTGCTGAAAGCGGCTGAAGACACAGCTACATGAAAACGTACACCGTGTTCATGGACTAGGAGAACTAACATTGTTAAAAATCCATCTACAGATTCAATCCCTATCAAAATACCACTGGCATTTTTCACAGAACTGGACAAATAATCCTAATTCTAAAATCAATATGGAACACACAAGATTCCAAAGAGCCACGGCAATCCTGAGGAAGCACAGCGCTGAAGGAATCTCGCTACCCGACATCAAACTAGACGTGAGCCCGCAGTAACCAAAACAGACTGGTCCTGGCGTAAGAAAGACACACCAATCAACAGCACAGAACAGAGAGCCCAGAAACGCACCCTCGCCTGCGGGGCCAGTCAGTGTCTGACGAGCAAGCACGGGAAGACCCTCCGTAAATGGCGCCGGGACATCAGGAGCCAGACACACGCAAAACGGCGGGAACAGGCCACCTTCTCGTTCCATCCACAAGAACGCGCTCAGACGGACCGAAGACGTAAACGTCAGGCAGGCGAAATCACGAAAGTCCTACAAGCAGCGGAGGCTGGAGCTCCTGGGTATCGTCTCAGCAGCGTTTTTTTGGGTTTGTCTCCCAGGGCGAAGACAACAACATACAAAGTAAACGGACGGGACAACCTCCAAGAGAAGCTTTCGCGCCACAAGGGAAACCACCAACTGAACGGGAAGATGCCGGCACCGGACACATCCAGTAAGGTCGATATCCAAGGCACAGAAGGAACACACAGCCCAACATCGAAGCAACACACAGTCCCGCAAAACCCCGCGTGAGGCGCGCGGCCTCCCTGGACACAACCCCGTGTGCTGCGGGGCGTGTGTCCGATGGTGCCGCACGCCAAACATCTCAGCCGCCGCGCCCCCAGCTGGACCCTGGAACAGGGACCGCGGCGCAGCTGTGAGGCGACGCGACCTGGCCGGGACGCAAGGGACCCCACACGGCAGGGCTGGGAAGGAGCGGCAGGGGTGCGGTGGGGCGGGCGGCCCCCCCCACGGCGGCCCCTGGAGGGGAGCTGTGTGCCGGCCACGCCGCCGAAGGTCCCACGCCCACACCGCCTGTCTGTGCACACGTCAGAGACGTTTACTGAGCAGGGGAAGGAATGTGGAATAAAGTAAACATCTCCCCAGAACGACCCGGATGTGAGATTTTCACTCACTGGAGAGCACCGACTGCGCTCATCACAAAGAACACAGCACCCTGAGTGCATGCTAGTTACTAAACCCAAGTGGGAAGCACTGGGAAAAGGAACATTTTGAGAAACAGAGTGCAACAGTTACCACACGCAGTGTGGCAACGATCAAACAGAAAACCTGCAGATGTCGGCAAGGTTCTGAAATTAAAGATCTGATGTGCTATTGCTTTATAAAACATACTGTACTAGTACTTTGAAGCTTAAAAAAAATTGAGAAATTATTCTTAAAAGCAACAGGAAAAGAAAAAGACATAAAACCAGATTACATGGAAATACTACTTCTGAAACTGGTAATGACCAGTGTTCTTAAAAAAAAAAGTTTCTAGCTTTGATGTTTCATGGCATGTGTATTTAAAATACGTTCTTTGTATCCATTTCTAGTACATAATAATATATGAAAAACCATCGCGCTTGGTGAAAAACAGAAAATAAGAAAACATGACTTCTCAGAATTCTAAAGAACTCAAAATACTGATACATCTACATTCTTTAAAAAATAGAGGGAGAACTGGCAAGGTGCCAGAAGCCTGCCCAGATGAGAAAGGACAACCGACACAATGTTCAGTCTTCTGTCCGAGGGAGACTGGGCTGAAAAGGGTCTGGCCTCCAGCAGGCGGCTGACGTAGCAAGTTGTCAATAGGCAGAGTTGAGAACAGTCAGAAACTAGAAGTTCCCAGACCTCAGGAAAGTTATCGCAGCGAAAAATAATGTCCCACTGATTTCTGAGACATCGTTAATGTATCAGAAGTGCTTCTAAGATAGTTTTGTTTTGTGAATTTTCTGGTTCACACTCTGATGTTTTTATGAAAATAAAGTGATGATCAAATCCCAGCTCCACAATTTGAAGATGGTAACTTCCAAGAAGTCATGTAATTTCTCTCCAGAACTCAGTTTCTTGATCTGCAAAATGGGTTTACCAGCCACTCCCTTCCCTAGCGGCATGAAGTGAAAATGACGGTGCTGGCTGGCAAAGCGATTGGAAAGCTTTTCAAGATCGAGTGTAACAAAGAACAAAGTTCTGATTCAAGCACTAACGCCAAACCACGTCTCCATCCACACGGACCGTCGAGTAACAGGCCCGACGACTGGTTTTCAGAAGCCCCCTCAGGCCTGTCTGATGCCAACCCACAGCCCTGCAAGGCCACGGAGCCTGGACGCTCCCTTAAGCTGGTACAAAAGGAAGTTAGAGTTTAGCCAGATTTTTAAAAAATGCAACAAAGTTGCATAAAAGAATCCCAGTCCCTGCAGAACAGGGCACGAGGCCTTCTAATCAGGGCCCGGCCCGCTGCCTTCAGGAAGGGTCCCCGCAGCTACCGCAGGCCACAGAGCCCGCTCTCCCCGCGGGGCCCCGGGCCACGCTGCTCGGACACGTGCCCCCCGGCCCCTGCCCCCCGGCCTGTCCTTGGAGAGTCGGGCCCTGCAGCCCAGGACGGCGCCCGCCAACCCCAGGTGGCGATCTGAACTGGTTAAAACTGGAACCAAGGCCCTGCGGTGCGCTGGCTTTCCCTCAGGGGGGCGGCAGCCACGGCGCGCCCTCCTGGTCTCCACGGCCCTGCTGGCCGAGCTCCCGCGGGAACGGCCGCGCTCCTGACGCCCGGCGGCAGCCCTCGGGTGCCGCGGTCTGGCCGCCACGGGGGCTCAGGCGCCTCCACACCGGGCAGCTGCGAGGAGGGGCCTGCGGCTCAGGGGGCCCCGCCCCCCGACTCCGGCGTGACACGCCGCGCGAGCACAGGGGTCAGGAGGGCGATGCCGAGACGCCGCAGCCCGCGGGACCGGAGGCGAGGCCGAAGGGGCAGCCGCGGCGCTCAGGCCCGCCGCGCGCCCACGCGCCCACGGCGCGGCCCCCTCGCGAAGGGGCACTGCGCCGCGGAAGTGACGCGAGGGGTGTTCTACCTGTCTGGCCCTGTGGGCCGTCGCAATGCCGTGATTCCTTAAGCAGCTCACAGCTCTGGGGTCTGGCGACCGGCCCACGTTCCAGCCAGAAACAGCACCACTGTCAATCACCCACTGCAACACAGAACACACGTGAGCGCCTCGCGGTCACGCACGGTACCTGGCGGGCAATGTGACTCATGGGGACACCATGCTTCTTCATGCAGCTCTGCCCCCGGTAGTCGGGAGGGTTTCCTATCTCGTATGTGGAGGTCGCCGCACTGTCTATCCTCCACTGCAGGAGAGAAAGAAACAGGGTTTTCGCCACTTCCTGACACGAAGGTATCCGGACGGGGTTCTGCGACAGCGAAAGGCACTCACCTTATCTGAGGCGTTTTGCTCGCTGACGAGTTTCCTGAAAACCGCCTCTGCGATGGGCGACCGGCAGATGTTGCCTGGAAGGAAGAGCACAGCACGGGGTGGGCACCAGGGGTGCGGGGCACAGGGCCCGCGCCGCCCCCCCCCCCGCCCGCCGGTGCCATGCGCCTGAGGACGCCCCCCCCCCCGCCCCGGAAGCGGCCGCCCAGCCCGCGGGAGGGCCTGCGCGGGGCGGCTGGCCGAGGCCACGGCCCACGCTCTGACTCAAGCGATAAAGACAATGGTGACCACGTCACGGGTGTTCAGGCTGCTATCGGTGACCCCAACGTAGGCCCCGAAATCAATGACCTGGGTTGGAGCCAGACCATTTTTTTTTTAAACCTCACCTGAGGACGTTTTTTTCATTGCTTTGAGAGAGGAAGGGAAAGAACCATCAGCGTGAGAGCAGCCCCGGCTGGTTGTCTCCCACACGTGCCTGGACCTGGGGAGTGTCCGCGGCCTGACCAGGGATGGAACCCACAGCCCTTCCATTACAGGATGACACTGCAACCGACTGAGCCACACCGGCCAGGGCTGCAACCAGCCAATGTTTTTATTATTTTGTAAAGAGATTTTACTTATTTATGTTTAGAGAAAGGGGAAGCGGGGAAGACCGAGAGGGAGAGAAACATCAGTGTGTGGTTGCCTCTTGAGCACCCCCTACTGGGGACCTGGCCTGCAACCCAGGCATGTGCTTCAGACTGGGACTCAAACCGGCCACCCTTTGGTTCACAAGCCGGCACTCAATCCACTGAGCCGCACCAGCCAGGGCCCGTAACCAACCAATTTTAAAATGAAATACAATAACATTAAAAACAACGTATTTTCAAGTATACTGCATGTGATGAAGACTACTACTATTTCATAAAAAGCACACCAACGTATTTAGGCCGAAGAGTAGTCAGCACAAACTCTTCCCGCACAGTCTGCCTGAAGTCCTGGCTCAGATGCTGTGGCCCAGGAGACGGCCTCCATCCCCGGCGCGGCCTCCAGACCACCACGCAGGGACCCCCAGGGCCGCCCTCACCTCAGAGCAGCTGGCTACAAGTTCGTGTGTCCCACAGGCCCAGCAGACTCACAGCATCGGGAGAATGCTGTACTTATGACTGCAGTTTTATCGTAACAAAACAACACAACGCAGAGCCAGCCAGGGCAAGAGAGTAGACAACAGAGCCTGGAAGAGCCCCCAACAGAGGGTGCTCTGCTGCCTGGGGACATGCCACCCTCCTGCACAAGCAATGACACTCAGAGCTCAGGATGCTCCCAGGGGCCCTGAGGCTGGGGGAGGGGCTTGGTCTCCCTAAGTGGGCCTGACTGGCTAGATGAGGAGCCTGGGCCGGACTCCGCCCGTGGCGCCCCAGGGCTGGGTGGCACCGGCCCTCGCAGGCCGGGCCCTCCCAGGAGAACAAGACACTCCTCCTGGAGCGCAGACAACAGCCAGACCTTTCGTCAGCTGGGGCCGAACTCCTCACTACACTGGAGAAAGAGGGACAAAAGACAGAAAATCTCTCAATTATCTCTACAGTGTGCTCAGCAATGTACTTAAGGGAGATAGGGAGTTAGCTATAACAAAGACAGGAAAATAAATGCCGACAAATAGGAGCACATAACAATATTCTAAAAAGCACAAACAACATAACAAAACCATTGGTTATCAGGAAACAAGGGAGGAGGAGGAGGGTGGATCTTCAGAGGATGAAGTAGACCTTCACAAGCGCAGGCTCAGAAAGGGCCCGAGTCAGGGCGGCCAGGAGGGAGCCCATGAGGCTGCCCAGGGCACAGAGGGGACACCTGCGAGCTGACGGCCTGGGGCGCGGGGACCGGGAACTGCCGCCCGGGCGAGAGCTCCTCCCGGAGCCATGGTGGGAGAGACCCAAGGACTGAGGGAGCAACAAGATTACTCCATGGACACGCCACGCACACCCAGTACTTCTGAGCCGAGCGCCGCACCAGGGCACGAAGAGAGACAGCTGTTTAAGACACAAGCCCTTCGCAGAGTCAGGAAACACCCGCGGGGCAGGGAGCTTCAGACGAGCTCGGGACCGAAGGGGGAGGCTGAGTTCCTACAGCGCTGACCCAAGAGGGCACCCAGACCAGGTCAGAACGCGGTGACAGAGGCGAAGAGATGGAAGAGACGCTGTTCGAACAGGCGGCACCAGATGACAGCCTTTCCTGACGTTACAGTCTTCTGGTTCACTATAAACACGCAGAATTAGCCTCTTCTACAGTGTTGTGAAGCATAGCTAACTGCTCCCCGACTTTGCCACGATTGTGTTCCATTTCTACATGAAAACAGGAATTAACCTCAAGTGCCCTCTAGAAGCTAGTTTGTGCTGTGAACTTTTTCCTTTTCACATCTTAATTTTTTATTAATTTTTAAAACAGGTGTCATGATCCCCACTCTTTTAATGATCAAAAGGCTCCCTGTGGATGTGTCATTATTTTACTTATCATCATAGACCCTGGGAGTACTTTTAACAGCAATCACTTTTCGAAATTAAGATAACAGCTATTATTTTGGCACTCTAGAATAATAGATGCTTAATATCTCAGCATCTAAAAATATAATAAAAAGACTCATGCCTTTACAAATATTTATGGTTAACTGTAAAACAACTGCTAAGTTTTCCCCCAAAACAAAAACATGGATGATTTACTGCCTAAAGTTAAGACAAATTAATCCACATTTTCTACAGATGGTTATATTTACAGCAAGAAGGTATGTGTATAGGTGCAGGTGGAAAAAAAAAATGAGGGCCAGAAAGATTAGAAGGCCCATTGCCTAAAAGATCAGCAGATAAAGGCTGCGGTAAGATTATCTCACAAAAACATAAACACTTACAATCTTGGGAAAATAAAGAGCACAGGTCAGTGAAAAACATTCAACACCGTATCCCCTAGTCTGAAAAAGGTCCACACAAACGCTCTGAAGCATCACAGGGCTCCCTCTGTCCTGCAGGCACCAGGGGCCGGCATCCCAGCCCCTCGCCACCGAGCACCCTCACCCCCAATCCGCTGGGGCCCCGCCCGGCTCGGCTAATCTCCACGCAGCAGCCGTGGGAATCTGCGGCCTCAGCCAACCTGTCCTCCTTCGACCCTGAGACAAGGGTCCAAGAACGTGGCCCGCGGATCACCACCTCTGCGTACAGCCCACAGAGCTAATGCTAGGTTTCACATTTTTGAATAAACAAGGAAAGAAAAACCCCCCTCAAAAACAGAATATTATTTTGCGACATGAAAAAGTTATATAGCATTCAAATTCCGGTGTCCATAAATAAAGATCTGCCGTGACAGCCAAGCTTAACCTTTCTGTGCTAGGGCCTGCAAAGCACAAAATGCTTATTCCCTGGCCTTTTACGGGAAGTTCGCAGACCTCTGGCCCCGAGCGCCCGCGGGGACCTGGAATGAACGCCCCTCCCCCCGCGCACTGAGAGCGGGACCTCCGGGAGCACTGAGAAAAGTCGCCCCAGCTATCTTCCAGCGCTCAGGTCCTGGCGAAGGCTGCTTACGCAGAGACCTGGAGAATTCGGCCTCCCGGTTTGGCTTTTACAACCCCAATATCCAAAACCCTCGCGGCCCATCTGCCTTTAGCTCAGATTCACACAAGCGCCGGGGCACCTGAACGCGCCGGCAAAGCTGTCACGGGGTTGAGGACACAGGAGACCTCTCGGCAGCTTCAGGTCCCCAACGCAGGGCTGGAGAGATTCCCGCAGCTGCGCTGGAAAGGCCCCCAGCCCGTAGCGCTGCGCGCGGAGGGGGCCGCCGCGCCCAGCGGACCGCGTCAGGGCGCGGCGTAGGGTGGGATCCCGAGCATCCCAGCCCACCCTCGGGGCCGCGTTCCCACTGAGCGGCGCAGCCCGGGACGCACGGGGCCCACCCCAACCCCCTGGGAAATCAGTGCGGGGCTAGATCAGCGCGACTCACCCAAACACACGAACAGCACAGACTTCGACACCGGCTCGGCCATCTTCCCACGGAAACACGGAGGCGCCCACTGACCGCGTCGGAGCGTCTCTGGCGCAGCACATGCGCACTCTGAGCGGCCCGCCCCGCGCGCCTGAGCAGTCCGACTTTAGGGCCGGCCCGGGGCAGTAGGCGGGCCTCGCGCCTGCGCAGTCAGGCACAAGCGGCGCGCGGGAGGCGGGGCCGAGAGTCGCGTGGAGAGTGGGGGCGGGGCCTGGGGAAGGGGCGGGGCGGGGCGGGGCGAGGGCGGAGCCGGTAGCCCCTGCGGTTAGCGAGGCGGGAGGGACTCGGGGACCCGGCGGCGTAGGCGGGGTCGTGAGTCACCTGGGAGGCGGGCGCGAGTGGGAGAAGCCCTGGCGTGGGGCGGGCTTAGGTCCGGGCTCTGCGGAGCGATCACCTGAGGGCGGGGGAGGGCGCCTCCGCGAGTCCGGAGCAAAAGGTGGGAGCGAAAGGGCTCCAGAGCCTTACCGGGGGGGCGGGGTCCTGAGGGGGTCGGGCGGACGGCCCCCCTCACCTGGGCCTTGAGGTCGGAACCTGAGGCCGGCGGTCAGGGTCGAGCGGAGTCTGCCGCACGCGGCCGCGGGCTCCTCCCTGACCTGAGACCCCGCTCCGCCCGGGGGCCGCGGTCGGAACCTCAGCGCACAGCCGTCCGCTCGGCGACGGGAACTGTTAGCCAGGACAGTGTCGATTCCGAAAAGGCGGGATGCGCTAGACCCACCTCGGGACGCAGTCGAGCACAGGATTCCGCAACTGCCACTGCGGGTCGAGCTACTGCCGCCCGCTGCTACCTGCTCAGGTGCGCGCCTGGGGGCGGCTCCTGCGCCGGGGGCGGAGCCGGGTGGAGCGCCCTTCCTCTTCCTGGCAGCGCGTCCGCGGCTCGAGCGAGGGGCGCCGGCGCGGGCCGGGCTGGGGGCACAAGTGAGTACGGGCGTCGCGCTGGGCCGTCGCGACCTCCTCCTTCCCCTTCGAAAGGGTTTTGCCGGAAGGGCCAGTGGTGGGGGAGACGACCTTTCCCGGGCGTTCCGCCCTGCGCATCGGTTGACGCCGTTCGACCGCGAACTGTCACAAGTTCGGGGTGACATCGCCCCGGGGCCCGGCACAGAGCACCTTGGATTCGGGCCTAATCCCAGGTGTTCCAATTCACAGAAGAGTTCTTCCTAAACTTTTCATTTTAATGATTGCTATTTGTTATTTCTAAGTATCTAATATGTGAAAAGCCACAGGTCAGTGTCTTTTTCTTTCCAGTTTGCGTGATGGTTTGGTTTGGGCGTGTGCGCGAGTCGTGGGGCCGCAAGACGCGGCGAGGGCCCCGCCCTCACGAACGCGCGGCGGTCTGAGCCCGGAGGGCCGTCCGGGCGGGCGGTGCTTCCTTGTAGGAGCTCGTACGAAACTGCTCCACCGGTTCGCGCCGATAAGGACAGGGGAGTCACCTACTGGAAGGAAACCGTTTCCACTCCATTTCATCCAGTATTTCACGGTCCCCACTGCTGCTGCCACGGTTGGAAAGGAGGACGCGGACGAGACGGACGTGGGGCCCTACTCGCAGGGAGTCCCCTTCGCGGGGCCCACGTGCTGTCCTCGCGGGCTTCCTGCCGGGATGTCGGTCGGGAACCGTCCGCAGGACTTTGGGGTGCGCCGGCCCGAGTGCCTGGTCTGGGGGCGCCTGCGGGGCGACGGGGTCGAGGTTAAAACGATCAGAACAAGTTAGAGCTGCACCGTGTTTATCGTGTTTCAGGAGGGTTTATTAATGTCCTATTTAAACAAAGTTTCTGTAGAATGTGTAAATACTACCCTTGATCTTTTGTGAGACTGAAAACATAACTTTTTTAAAGGTTTTGTTTATTTTTAGAGAGGGGGAAGAGAGGGAGAAAGGGAGAGAAACATCCATGTGTGGTTGCATCTCTTGCGCCCCCTACTGGGGGCCTGGCCTGCAACCCAGGCGTGTGCCCGGGCTGGGAATCGAACCGGAGACCCTTTGGTTAGCAGGCTACCGCTCAATCCCCTGAGCCACACCAGCCAGGGCTGAAAAAAATAATTTGAAATAAGTCTTTGCTTATCAAGATCCATTCAATGCTTTTGCCCCATTTAGGAAATTATTCTCAGGAGATTTCTCACTCTTTAGAAATAAGGCTGAGGTGTGTGTGTTGGGGGGGGTGGTTCCAAAGGAAAGGCAGTCGATGCAGGTCAAAGGGGACGTGTGCTGTGTGCCCGGCTGGCGGGTGGTGGTCACCGAAGGCGCACCACGCCTCGCCTCATTTGCAGCTGCATGGCGATAGGACAGAAGCACACTGAGCTTTTTGTTTTCTTTGGGAGGAGCCCATTTTTCACACCAGCGGACCTCACAGCATGGCACGTGGACTCGTGCTCCCAGCCAGGATCCTGTGGGCTTGGGTTTGGGGAGGTGAAGGTTCCACTGGAAGCTCTGTTTCTCATCACTCCTGACTCCGCCCCCATCTGCACCTGGGAACCGGAAAAGCAGCCCTGGTCACATGAATGTTTGGATTCAAACGGTCAGTTTTGTTTAAAGTTTGAGTCATAAATTTGGATTAGGAAAGTTAATGATCTGACCAGAGAGACCGGTTTTGATTTCTAGCACTGACAACTCTGTCTCTTCACTCAAAGGAGGAGTTAAACCAAGGCCACTGAAAGTTAAGAACTGGTTTCCGAAACAATGGCTATAGTTACCAGACGTGGGTTCATGGATGATGTTCCAGTTACAGGTTTCCTGTCCATGGTTCTCAGCTAGAGGGCACTTTTAAAAGCTGTTTTAAAGATTTCATAGGTGAAGTTTCTTTTGTTTTGGCTAAATTTAATCAATTCATTCTAAATATTTCTTAGTACCTTTTTAGTTCTTTTGATTTGGGTTGGGATTTTATCAATTTAGTGAGATAACCTCTATTTCATATAAATTATAAGGTTTAATAATTTGATTAATACCTAATTGATGGAATTTTGGAAAACTGTTTCTAAGCTTCTAAACTTTTCCTAGAGGTTCCCCCCTCTCATAGCTGAGCCTGTTGAGAAAGACAATGACGCCTATTGATGAAGGAAGTGTGGGGGCCCTGAGCTCCCCTTGCTTCCACTCCAGACCCTGGGGGGAGGTGGGCTGGGAACTCGGCAGCCTCCGCACCACCCCCCACGGCGATTTACTTCATTTGGATTACGATGCCCCTGTTTGCCCCAGAGCCCCAGAGCCCCAGCCCGAGCTTAGCGTCTGTCCTCAGTATGTGACTCATTTCCACACCCTGAGCCCGTTTCAAGCTTTGGAGGTTTCCAAGGTAAAAGTTTTCTCCCCAGTATTTTATAAACTTTTCTTAATGAAAAAAAAAGAGATAACCTTAGTATGAGATTTCGCAAATATTGTAACTGCTTCGTAAAGAAAACTTCGCATCTAAGTTTCTGAGCTTGAGGTTTGGCAGCTCTCTTCCTGCGAGGAGGAAACGCCATTGTTTATAGAGGATTTGCTTTGGAATTCAAGAGCCTTAGGCCTTTTATGATTCTCAGATGCCTCACATGATTTAGAGCTTAAGGGGTCTGTCTCCCTGCCCTGGTCGAGTCAGGCCAGGCCGAGCAGGCTCTGAGCTTTGTGGACGAGGAGGACGGGGGCAAGCCCTGGTTGGGTGCCGAGAATCGGGATTGTGGCTTCGCGCTAAGTTGCGATTGGCTGGCTCTGACAGAAAGCCACTGTCTGTAACTCTGACCAGGCAGTATGATCTTGTCAGAAATTCAGGAGCATCTGTGCTGTTCAGACACATCAGTCGAGCTCTCCCGCGCGCGGTGCGGCCGGACTCGACGGCGCCCTCTCCGTAGCCGGCCCTGCCAGCACCCGGCGGCAGCGACGCAGCGCCGTGCTGGTCGGGCTCCGGCCCGCGGGTCTCCTGGCTGCCCAAGTCCCCAGGGGCTTACGGCCGAGCAGGGCCCTCCCCGCAGTGGGGTGTTTGCAGCAGCAGCAGCTCCCAGCTGTGGGATTTGCTTGTGTGGCGGCTTAATTCTGCTTGGGTGTGGGGATCAAGGCAGAACGTCTTGGGAGGCTGGTAAGATCCGCGCACCATCTGCTGTGCTTCGGTGGCACATGACAGAAACTCTGATCCAAATCGGCATCACAGAAGAGGACGTCTCCGGCCCGCGTGGCGGCCGGTTCCGAGCTGCTGTGGCTCCCGCGGGCCAGCAGAGCCCAGGTTTCCTGTCCATGGCTCTGTCGCGGCTCAGAGCGCGCGTCTGCCTCAGGCTCCGCTCTGGGGTGGCAGCCTGTGGCGAGGGCCCAGGAAAGGGGGCCCCGGGCGGTTCCCACACCAGCCAAAACAGGGCCTTGCTGGTTCAGGGTCAGTAGCAACCCTGGAGAACTGGCTGAAATACTTGGTGGCCCCCTGCGGCTGCCACGTCGCGGGGACCCGGGAGGAATGTTGGGACCCCCTGCGTCACGCGCTCGAGGGGCGGCGTCCAGGAGAGAGGCAGGCTGGCGCTGATGCTGAAACAAAAGACAGATGTTCAGCAGAAGAAACAGGTTTCCCTAGTTGCTAGCTCCGTTCGACAGGAAGTGCCGAGCACCCAGCTCTGCGAGCAGGCACCACGGAGGCGCGAAAATCGGTAAAGTCTCCCGGCCCTTCGGGATTGTAGTTTAGGGGTGGGAGGGGGGGTAATACAAAGGAAGTAGGAAGAAAAGACAGAGGTACAGGTAAGAGTCTCAAATCACAAACCCAAGTGCTAGTAACAGAAAAGTTGTGTTCTGAGCCCCCATCTGCAGTTGAGTTTGGGCCTTGCTTCCTCCCTGGACGCAGTCATGTTTCTGGCGCGGCTGAGAAGAGACTGGGGCTGCTCGTTGCCCACTCGGATTTACTTGTGGTCCTCAGGCACCGCCGACCCCGAGGACGCTGCTAGTCCTTGCTGCGTTCACAAGGTCTGGCTGTGCAGCTCTGGCTCAACACAGCCCTTCCCTGCCAGCCTAGCAGTGGCCGCCTGGGCCTGGCAGCCGGGGGACTTGGCGGGCCGCGCGAGGGCCCGGGGACACTCGGCTGCTGGCACCGTCGCTGGAGGTCCGTGCCGCGAGCGTGTGTTTCGGGATGCTGTCTTCCCCGTGAGCTGGACTTGAGTTTTGCTCGGGCCGTCTGGTCTGGACCTCAGAAGCCGGAAGTGCCCAGCCGCCGGCACGGCCACGTCCCGCAGGGGGACCTGCGCTGAGACGCAGCAGGGAGACACGAGGCGACTGTGCTGTGCACGCGGGTTTTATTGATGCAGATTTAACCCACGTCCACACGGACCTGATCACAGTACTGCTCACTCGGAAACAATCAGTGACAACCTCACACGAGAGGACTGGGGACACAGCTGAGTCCCAGAGCCTCGGTCTGCAGGCCGGGAGGCAGTGCTGTGGGCAGGGGAGCCGGCGTCTCCAGAGCCGGGCAGCGGGGGGACGAAGCCCTCGGTCCGCAGGCCGACGGCAGTGGTGCAGTGGCCGGGGATGGGCTCGGCAAGGGCAGCCCCTTGGCGCATGGGGTCTGCGGTCTCCGTGTGGCTCTGGAGTCCACCCCAATTCTGGGCACCTGATTGAGCCAGGAAATTTCGTGGCTCAGGGCCAAGGGCCCCCAGCGCCCTATCGGCCGGCGCGCCCTCCCTGCAGGCACGTCTGGGGCCCTTATCTTGGGTGTGCCGCCCTGGCAGGCTTTTGGCAGGCGCCTGGTGCGACTTCGGTAGCTTCCCTCTCGAGCAGACGTGCCGAGTGCCACGGCTGCCCAGCAGCCATCGTGGGTGACGTGAGGGAGACCCCCTGTGCTGTGTACCTCATCCCGCCTTGACGGGACCAGCGCGTGTTCCTGGCCCCGCTCTGCATGGCTCGTCGGTTTTGTTTTGCCCTCTGTTCTGGGGAGGGCACCACCAGCCCTGACCTTGCTTCCCACCGACCCCTCCTGGGGCCTGGGAAG